ATGTAGCCAAGACACTAACCATTTGGCTACCACTATTTTTAGGGTGGCCCATGTATTTTTATACCCGTTACTCGTAGAGTAAAAGGGTATACTAGATTCGTCGGAAAGTATGTAACAGGCAGAAGGAAGCGTTTCCGACCCCACAAAGTATATATATTCTTGATCAGGATCACTAGCCGAGTCGATCTAGCCATGTCCGTCTGTCCGTCTGTCCGTCTGTCCGTCTGTCCGTATGAACGCTGAGATCTCGGAAACTATGAGAGTTACAACACTGGGATTAGGCACGCAGATTCCTGAGATTCCTGCGCAGCGCAAGTTTGTTTCAGCACAGTGCCACGCCCACTCTAACGCCCACAAACCGCCCAAAACTGTGGCTCCTACAGTTTTGATGCTAGAATAAAAATTTTAACTGAAATGTATTGTTCTCATCAATACCTATCGATTGACCCAAAAAAAGTTTGCCACGCCCACTTTAACGCCCACAACCGCGAAAACCTGTGACGCCCACAATTTTCATGCTAGATAAAAAATTTTAACTGAAATGTATTGGTCTCGTCGATACCTATCGATTGATCCAAAAAAAAATTTGCCACGCCCACTCTAACGCCCATAACGCTTAAATCTGTATACCGCCGGTAGGTGGCGCATTTTAATCTCGCTTTGCTGCTTGCATATCTCCATATAGCTGAGTAACGGGTATCTGATAGTCGAGGTACTCGACTATAGCGTTCTTCCTTGTTTTTATTGGTAATTACATTTGAAATTCAAATTTAAACGATTTTTGACAATGTTTTAATAAAACAGATTAGGACTACCAAGTAGGAACTCTATATAAAGTGTTTGTGTAGAGACTAATAAAACAGTACTAATAGTTTTTAAAAATGTCTTATAAATGGTTTAGTACATATTTAAAATTAAAAAATGTTATAACAAGTATTTTAATAGATTTGATTGAAGTGAAGAGTTACCATTTAACAATTGTTATAGGTTTAAACTAATTAAATAAAATCAGTGGCTCTCAAAGATCCTCTAAAAAATTTATTTATTAGCAGGCACATTAAAAAATATTCAAACTAAATTCCCGATTCAAACAATTTCCCCGCCCGATCATTAAACAAATTGCTTTTGCGGTATATGGACAATTAGCCACGCCCGCATGCTACATATATTAACTAAAAATTGCACAATTGGCCCAGCTGATGATTGATAATTTAGCCCCCACCAATTGCTGCAAAACTGTGGCAAATGTTTTGCGCTGAAATTACACTAATTTTACGATTTTACATGACCAAAGTTGGCTTTATGGGTTGTGCAATTTATACACTTTAAAGCGTTTCTTTCCACGTTTCTTTCTTTTTTGAGTGGTCATAAACTATGAAAAGCCAAAAATATGGGTCAAAGTTAATGAGATTTTTTTTGCGGTTTTTTTATGCTCGAAGCAACAGAAATAATAAAGGAGAACAAAAGAGGCTGGAGTTACATATATGGTAAACAAAGAAGATTATAACCTGTTCTGCGAGGGAGTTTCGGTTTCACTTTCGGTTTCAATGGTGCGACAGATACCGTTATTTCGAGTGCTTAACTCAAGTTGCATAATGGATACTACGGCAGCGACTATGCAAATTAGCATACAATCAAATTATAAGCATTTCAACATAAGCACACGAGCGAGCGGATACTGCCATTTGTAAGGTGCTGTGTGCGAATCTCTGTGTTTTGGGCAGGGGCTCACACAAAAAGGGGGTTGAGGTATCCATAGTTTGAAAATTTGTGAAAAAAAACTGTATTCAGAAAAATTAAATTTAAATTTAAGATTAAAATTCTAGTATTTTTCAGTATTTGACATTTTAAGTTAATTAAAAAATTGTTCACATATTTAATTGGATTTTGTAATGGAAATTTAAGTTGACATTTAAATTCTAAGGACATTCAAAAAAAAATAAACAAAAGTTTAAATAGAAAATAATTGCTCAAATAATATTTTTGAAACCTTTACAGGCAGAGAAAAAGTATAGACAGCTCTACAATATTACAAATATATATTAAAACATTTTTGAAAGTTTTACCAATAATAAACAAAATGTTTAAAATATAAAATAAACATAAATGTAGTTGTTATTCTTTCTTATTTAAAAATATTCCTTGAGTTATCAGATGCCAAATCTGCTTGCCATTTAAAATATAATTAAAATATATACTTCCAAGAAAAGTCTTGCCAACTTTCATAGTCATTTGATGTTTGCAAATAAAACTGAATGTGTAGGGTTTATCTTAATTTCGATCAGGCTATGGCCCGAAGACCCCCTTCGAAAATGTTCCCAAATTTAGCCCATGTGAGCTCGAGTGTGTTTTTCAGTTGTGTTGTGGCAGCAAATTGTTAATTAAGTCAAGGAAAATTCAGTCCCAGCCAGTCAAGTCGGATTGGCGAAGTTAAAGTTTGAGTTTGAGTTGGAGTCAGTCGGCACTTTCATTTCAGCAACAAAGCGTGACGAAGGCACATGTGTCCAAGCTGGAATTGGAATCCGAGGCGGATGAAGTTGTTGCCCCGCTGCATTAATCAAGTTTTCCACTGCGAAAATGGCATTAGGAATGGCGGGTTATGTAAAAATGTGACAGCAAAGTTCAGCTCAAGTGGAGTTCAATTAAAAGTCATGAGCAACAATGTTGCCAGCAGCATGCACGACCAACCAGACTAACTAACTTTAGATAAAAGCTCTACAAATTGTTATGCAAATGGAGATTTTAGTCTGTTTGCCCACTGAAAAAATATTTTATATTATTTTTAAAAGAAAAACATTTTAAAAATTTAATTGTCTCTAAAGCTTTAAGCAATTAATTTTTTTTGATTAACTGACCAACTTTAAAAGCAATTACATTTTAATTAAACACAAGAACATGTTTTTTGCTTGTCCGGCTCTTTTATTTTTTATTTGATTTGTCTACAATTTACAAATAAATCAGCGGCAAAGTGTCAGTAAATAAAAACCCCCACCGTCCGGAAAGCGCGTAATCAATGGAAATTATATAATTCACATTGCAATTAATTCTGGTTTTAATTGAGCGATTGATAATAATACAATAAATAACCCGAAGAGGGTAGTTGGGCAATAGAATTTAAAGTGCGCTAGGCGCTAGCCCAGAACCGGATTTATGTGTATATATAGTCTGGCCAAGTCACGAACTCGGTTTGTTCGGGCCATCTCCGCCTATTTTCCAGCTATGAAAATATAAAAATATTTCATTTTCCTCTCGAATTTTTTGTTGTTAACCATGTCTGCACATAAAAGAGATGATGGGAATGTTTATGCTGTGCAATGAAATTGTTATTATTAAATTATTAGACATAAGTGGCGGCGGGAGCAACAGTTGGGGGCTCGAAACGTGATGTGAATGGGTAACGCTCATCTGCTTTGGTTAACAAGCGATTTTTTTTCTATTTCGTTCTTTTTGCCATTTTGCAAATTAGCAAGGCAATTTAAATGGAATGCAGCAGCCGACGACTATGAACTTGGCCCATCAGCATGGGAGCGAACTAGTTCCGCATGTTAAATGGGTCTGAAATTGCTAAAATAAATCCAAATGACTGTAATTTGTAGCAGTCAAATTAAATTAAATAGTGCTAAGTGCTTAGATAATTTGTGAAAAATATAAATATAAAAATTGGGCCTCAAGAAATTAAGTGAGAATTAAGTATCTCAAAGTCCATTTTGAAGTTATAAAAATAAAATGTATTACACAAAAATATTTTTAAAACGATTTGTAAATTCCAAATATTATTATCAGTATGTTCAAATGTCTTATCATTATTTTTGTAGTCAAATTAAATAAAATAACACTTAATATTAAATATTGCAAAAAATAAAAAACTATTTGAACCAACAAAAAAAAAGTCAAATATAGTTTTATACAATTCAAAGTTTGATTTAAATTTATGAAAATAAAATGATTATAAAAAGAATATTTTTGATTTGGTTCTTAACTTACAAATATTACTAACTAACGCACTGTTTTATTTCAGCAATTCAGTTTGAAGAAACTAAACTTAAGATAAGTTGGAAAAATAAAAAACATTTATTTGGGCAACACGAAAATAAATACATATATAGTTGACAAAGTTTGCTTTGATGTGATGAAAATAAAATCTGTTGAACATAAATATTTTTGATTTGCTTCGTGACTTACAAATGTTATTATCAGTACGTGTAAATGTTTTATCACCCTATAAAAATATTTTTATTGTAAGGGAATTCCCTTTAGGTAATTTTCCTATAATTTTTGTAACTATAAATTGTATAAATAAAAATTCTTGAAAGGGAGTTAAAAATATTTATAAAGAAAAAATTAGAATTATATAGGATCATATTGATCGTCACATTTTTGCCCCTTTTAAGATCTTTTGTTAAAAGTCAGTATGTTTTCCATACAACGTTGGTTACCTGGCGATCAGTTGGTAAACACCTACCGCTTAATTAGCATTCTGGGCAAACATCTTCGCGGAACGATTGTCAGAGCTCACGCCTAAATGACAGCTCGCGAAATGCAATGAAACGCATTCAGATGGCAAATAAACTGCCTCACAATGCATTTGCCATTCAAATATTTGCGCACAGTGAGTCACAAACTGAGCAATGTAAGTGGGCACTATGGAATTGTGCGAAAATGGACTAATTAGTTATGCAATTTTCACACTTTACCGACGAACCCCCCTCGCAATTTTCCCCCGAAAACGGGAGAAAGGCAAGCAAACAAAATGATATTGCAGTTTTAAAACTAAACTTAAGCCAACCGATAAATAAATAAATTATAAATGCACAAAAGTGCCGACAGCTGGCCAACTGTTTTTCCGCTATTGTTTTTGTTTAAACTTTACTATAATTGTTGTTATTGTTTAGGTAAAAGTTTACCCATTTTAGCCATTGTTTCGGACCCATTGCAGTTTGCATAATGCATATTAGCATCGAGAGAGTCTGCTGGCAATTGAATAGTTTCGAGTTTCGAGTTTTTAGCTTTCAGTTTTCCTGGAACCGCTGCCTCACCCGGATCCAATCCGGTTTGTTTGCCCCATACGGCGACATTTGGTCAATAAATTATCATTTTTACAAACGCCCCCCAGATGGAAGTTCCATCGCAACGTTCGCAAAATCGAATAAGCATCGGGGAATTATTGCTGCTGATTGCTGGTTGTTCGCTCAATTAGCTGTCAATTAATTGATAAGCGGAGGAAGTCCCGCCAATGGGATGGAAATGAGATACCAGTGCTGTCTTCCCTTTCCGATAGGGGTATATGGTGCTATACGACCTTATCAATTCGATTGCCAACCGTTTGTTTATTTGCTGTTTTTCCAATTCACTTTGAAGAGTGCACAGCAGTTTCAATTAATTAATTAACAGGAAGTTCTGATTGATTCTGATTTTTCTATGTGTGAAAGCGTAAGTACCTACTTTATATTTCTAAGAACCTACTCAACAAGGCTTAGAGCTGCCTGAGGCAAGTTTTTAAGTGTTTTGATTTATGTATTGTAATAAAAATCCATTATAAGGTACATTTAACTTGAGGTTTTTAGGCCCCCATTAGTTTGTGAAAAGGTAAAGTACAGATTTGAAAAAGTTTTTTGATTATTTTTGCAATTTTTTATAGGAAAAATGAACTTTAAATTTCATTTAAGGGTTGAATATTTGTTCAACTATTCTCAACAAATAAAAAACCTTTAATTTTTCATATTTATTACCAACTCAAAATAATTTAAAGTAAGTATTTTCTTAACTATGTATATCGTTTATGGATTAAGTTTTAGGTTTGAAATGGAAAGTCAACGAATTCTTCTAATATTGCATATATATTTTAAACTATTTTCTCCATTAAGTTGGCTCTTCTAATTTCGGCCTTGAAAATTGTTATTTATATAAAATGTAGTTTAAGTGATAAGTAAACATACATAGGATTTTATTTGAAATCCTTTTTTTCATTATTCGATTTTTAGTGATCTTTGAATGGTAACTATTTTTTTTAAACCAAAATTTACTAGGAGTATATGATATTATGGTTTTATAAAAAAATCTTGTAGGTAATCAAATTCCATTGGATAATGTATTTTAAAAACCGATTATTCTTAAAATCCTACTTGTAGAGATATGGAATCCCTGTTACCATCTTCAAAAATGGGAATATCTCCCCTTAAATATCGAGTATATTTGTTTTACAAGGAAAGGGCTACTCACGAATGGCGCTGGATGGAGGTGCCCCTGGCCAGGATGGAGCTGCTGGTACTGCTGTGGCGAGAGCATCACGTGGGTCAGCGTCCCGTTCTCGTTGACGTACTGGGGCACCTGGACGGGCACCGGCATCGGGGGAGGGGGTCGGTTCTGGGAGACCATCTGAACGGCGGGACCTGCAAGTAGCGAGCGAAAAGGGGGGCAAATTACTTAAGATTCCCCAACAACCGGCAATATGCTGATGATGTGTGCGAGTGTGAGAGGGCGAGAGTGCCCCTCCTCGTATCGCGGATACAATATAGTACACATATATGTGCCATATAGCCATGTATGAGGGCACAAGTTAAAGCAGGCGACAGCTGGCGCCAGCGAGGCGACAGCTAGACAAGCGGGAGAAAGGAGAAAGGAGAGCGGAGAACGGAGAAAGGGGGGAAAGTAGGGATTCCAGGACATTGCCAGGACAGCCATTGCTGCTTTATGTCAGCGGCGATTTCTCTGTGTTTGTTTAATGGATATCTCTCTCCACAGCCGACTCTCAGTCTTTTTGTGGATGTGTGCAAACATCTATGCACAGAGAGGAATTTATTGTTTAGAGGTTTATCTAGTTTTTAGCTAAGGTTATTAATAAATGGCGTTCTTAAGTTCATAATATTATAATTTATAATAAAAATGGTAAGATGACAACAGCCAGGAAAATTGAAGATGCCTTTATAATATATCTTAACCACTCTGGCTTAAAAAAAATAGATCCTAAGGATGTTATTATGCTGGTTTAAAATCATGCTATATTTACATATCAGACGTAAAGTAAGTAAGCATTCAAGCTTCCATATCAAAATAAGATGTATACACTTTAATTGGAATTTAAATTAATATTATTTTTTATATTTCTGGTGATATAAGTCGTATAACTATCACATTTAATAATTTATCGTGTCTTATAAAATAATCTAAAATTCCACATATGGAATTAGTTCTTTGCTACTCCTTAAAGAAACACCTAACAATACCTAATACCTATTTCAGAATCTATTGTACTATCAAAATAAGGGGTATATACTTTAATTGTAATTTTTTTTTTATATTTCTGCTGAATTATGTCTTATAAATTCATTTAAAATTCCAGATATGGAATTATATCTTTGCTATTCCTTTAAAATTTAGACATAATAAAAAAAATGCACATAATATCATAATATCTATTTCAAGATCTAATATATTATCTCCATTTTTTTTATTCTTTCAGTGCCTACATTTGAATATGTATGTTTGTGTTTGCTGCAGCCAACAAAATGCTTGACAGAGTCTGCCAATTTCTGGCTCCCTCGTCGCCTCGAACTACTCAACTACGATACGCATACGCACCGTTGCCCAATTCCGATTTCATTTGCAATTTAAGTCTGCCCGATGATTAATATCCAGCCCGTTCCATACCATCCCATCCCGTTCCGTTCCGCTCTTGTCATAGGCACTGCACTCCACTTCCACAGTCCCCGACCTCTCTCTAAAGTTGGCTTTAATAAATGTGCTGGAGACATAGAAATCTCTAGAGCAAACATTTCTTGGCAGCCTCATTTCGTATGGAAAGAGAAAAATCGAGATTTGTAGAGCTAGTAAGGGGCGGTGAAGTACCGAAATTTTCGGGGGTTCTTGGCAGGGCATTGGATTCCGAATCAGAATCATAGCCTCAGCATTGTCTGGATCTGGTTTCGCCACTGTCATTAGGGAGGGGGGGATAATACTAATATCAGAGAAGCACCATTCCACTGCCATTTCCATTCCATTTCCATTCCATCTGGGGATCCATTTCAACTGCAACGTTGTCGCATGTCATCGCCACAGAATAAACGACAGCGGACCGCCCCAAAAGTTGCCCCCCTCAAACAATTCAGATATATTTTGATTTGTGGATTTGTATTGCTTTTCAATTCTATTCCTCTTCGGCTTGACTCCATCCATTTTTTTTGGCTGCAATGCGACGAGGAAAATAATGGAAAAATCCAAGGATGGCGAATGAGCAAACATTTGTTAACGAACGATGTCTGGACGAGATTAGCGCATAATTCGGTTTGATAAATGATAAGTGACCAGACTTCTTGATAAAAATGCATTTGAAGTGTAATAATTGAATTATTTGTAAGTTCCATGGTAATATTAATGAGGTTTTTCCGATCATTAATCACAGGAATGCATTTATTGGTTGTTACCTTTTTATTATAATAATATTATTATTACATTATAGTATTATTAGGTTTAATTCGGTTTGGTAAATGACAAGGCAACAGACATCTTGATAAAACTGATAAAAACACTGGATGTGTAATAATTGAATTATGTATGGTTAAATACTTTGGTAATATTAATATGATTTTCACGATCAATTATCAAAGGTATGCATTTACTGGATATTACTTTATTATTAATTATAAATTCGATATGTGGAAGCATAAAAGATTAATCATTTTATAATAATATTATTATTATATTATAAGATAATAAGGTATAGTTCAGTTTGATAAATGATAAGTGCATCTGAAGTGTAATAATTTAATTGTGTATGGCTAAAAACCATAGTAATTAAAATGTGGTTTTTCCGATCATAAATCAAAGGAATCCATTTATAAGTTGTTACTTTATTATTAATTATAAATACGACATGTTAAAGCATGAAAGGTGAAATATTTTATAATAATATTATTATTATATTATAATTTTATAAGGCATAATTCGGTTTGATTAATGATAAGGCTACAGACTTCTTGATAAAACAGCTTTGGAAGTGTAATAATTGAATTATATACGGTTAAATACCAATGGTAATATTAATGTGGTTTTTGCCCATCATAAATCAAAGGAATGCATTTATTGCTTGTTACTTTATTAATAAATATAAATACGATATGTTGAAGCATAAAAGATTAAATATTTGCCCTCACTTTACACCACCTTACTTAAATTCCCACGCTTTATCAAAGCCATAAATATTTAAAACCAAACCGAAACGACAAAAAAAAGCGAGTCAGAAATCCATGTTCATCATAAAATGCATTCCATGTTTGCACATCAATATGGATGGGTTAAAATGCGATTCCCAGCTGCAGAATTGCACTTTGCATGCCGGGGCACGTAGAAGGGACGTGGCCACGCCCACTTGTGGCCCCTTTTTGGCATTTCCCACTACTACATATATATTTTTTATTTTCTCGCAGCATTTTCCCGTGCCTTCTAGTTTTTTTTTTCCTATGTTTTTTATGCGCCTTCTGTTCTGTTTCGCTGGCTAAACAATGCAGAGTTGCATTTTTTATGGACACCACGCGGCGTATGCGTAATGTCGGCTAATGGATTGTGGGGAGGTTATCGTGTGGTAGGTTGAATGGGGTGTTTAAGGGGGACTTCCCCGCTTTCGCTTTAATAGTTAAACTGTAAACTTAACGGTAATGCGGCTGTTAATACGCTTAGCCATGTCTCGCACTCATTGAGGCCGAAAATGCTGGGCCCCGCCGTTCAATCAGGCGTTAAATGCCATCCGCCGGCAGAAATTACCAGACTAGTAGTCTTTGGGAGACCCAAGTCCGGAGAACGGAGACGGGAGTTCCCTTGATCCACTCTTAGGTGTAAAAATGTTGGTTTAGTGCGCTGACGCATAATGCGAGTGAAAAGCGGAAAACCGATGATGGCTGATAAACTTTTCTACTTTTCCCACTCCCCCCCCCCTCCCCCTTTTTTTTCCACAATACCTTCAATGCAGTTAATCATTCTGTAAGAGGGGTGAGAAGAAAGGGGGTTTGGGAAATGGGGGTTTTTAGGGGCCGGAGAAGATTGTCTGGCCAGGAAATGCACACCGTTCCTAGAACGAGATAGATGATGGCAACTGAATTTCCCCCTCAAGTGTTAAAAGACAGCAATTAGTTGGGCGCAAAAAAAGGGGGGTTGGCCTGTGAGCAGTGGCGTGGCGCAGGGGGAGGGGGGAATAGCTTATCACTTGGCCAGCAGACAGACGGTTAAATTAAGTACCATACTTCAGCGACTAAACCTCCCCGTCTGCAACTTCTACTCAAACTTAATTAATGCTAAACTGCTTAAGAAGCGTTTTGGGGCCGGGGTTCTTGGTTGGCGAGGTATTTTGGCCAAGGAAAGTGTAAGTTACCAAGGAGTTCCAGGGGAGTACCAACTATTAAGGAAATTTACATAGTTTATGCTTTATGATTTTAAGTCCGAAATGAGCTTAGAAGTTGGGATCAGATCAGAAAACTTTTAAGCGAGATTATTTAGACTTTAGTTTAGTTTTTCCATCTGGAAGTGTTCACAGCACCCACATTATTTATACAGAAACTTCATCTCATTTGATTTATATTATCATTTAAAGAAAGGTATATTTTATGTAAAATAAAGTCAGTAACTATTGATTGTGTTCATGGCTTGATATAGGTTTTAATACAATTTCCAAATGATGTACAACATAAAATATAAATGGAAATAAAATAAAAATAGTCTTGGGCTAATGTTGAACTCAACTTGTAAAATAATAAAAACAGGATTTAAAGAATATTTAATATAATATTATTTATGTTAAATATAGTACAATATAAAGTATAAAATAAAAGAAGAATAAAAGAAAACCAAATATAACTACTTGAAAATAATAAAGAAATACTTTAAAGAATACATCAATTGAATGTGATATAAAATATAATATCCAAATAAAATAAGTGTTGAGCTCATGCTTTGAAGAATAATTAAAATTAGTATAATATTATATTATTTTAATATAATATAATACAACAGAAGCCAAATAATACTACAGTCAAAATATATAGTAACATTAAAAATGCTCAAAACATGAATTGTGAATTATTTCGTATTTATTGTAAAATCATTGTGGATATTTCTTAATTTTCTTGAAGCCCACAAAAACCCAGGTATCGACCCTCGCTAGTTTCATTATCATCAACTTCAATTATGTGCTTCGATGCGTTGACCTTGCCCCTGCGCCATCGCAACTCCACTTTGACCCCCTTTAAACCACTCCATTCCTTCAACAGACAGTGTCAAAATAAAGTTGCGGCTCAAACGCGTTTGGGCTAATTGCAAATGGTTATAGCTTTCCTGTTGTTACGCATTGTTGAGCCACTTGGCTTCCTTTAACCCAGCCCTCCAGTCTGTCAATTGTGTCGGGGGGTTGAGGGGTCAGAGGTCAGGGGTCAGGGCTGTTGTCTGGGTGTTCCGATTGCTGGCATCACGCACACGCATAACACGCACAGAATGTCTATAAAATTAATAACAATTCGGTTAGCAGTAGCCCAAAATCAAAAACTTTGATTGAGGAAATTCGAGTAGGGATTGTGATTGGGATTGATATGTTCAAGTGAGTTATTGTCGAGGAATTTATCATATTATATGAGTATTTTCTGAATTATTCTCATCCACGTTCGCCTTTGATGAATGCCCAGGGAGTTGAATAAACTTTCGATTGTCTTGAGCTTGATTTATGATTCCCATCGTTTGGGGGATATGCAAATCATTTTCGGGTAGGGGTGTCAATTTGAAATTATACCATTGCTTGGGAAAAGTTAACTCCCAAAGGGGTTCGCTTTGATGTTCTCGATAATTACCCAGCGAATCTAGACCAATTTGCGGTTAGTTGGCTCATTATAATCAACACTTTTCCTCACTTATCTCAAATTCCCATCTCATGATAATTGCCTGTCTCTCTCTTTCTCCAATTCTCAGCTTCTCAGTCTCCCTAGAAAGTCCCTCTTTCACCCCCTTAATTCACCTCCGATTAACGATGCGTGCGCAATTATCTCGATAATTATGATGAAACAAAATACAGCAAAAAAACCGCTTTCGCAAAATGCAATTAGAGCAGAACACTCACGAATTCCATTGAGGAAAGCTCGGGCAGAAATTTTCTTAAAGAGTTCTCTTCATTTTGTTCACGACATCGCGCATTAATTGCGCATACGCCCCGTTAAACGCTTCTCCACAAATCGAAGGCAACAAAATGCTCTAAGACTCAATTGATTGATGGTTTGGCGCAGGGGAGGGGGTTGGAAAAACCCGAGGGGGTGGTGGGAAAATTGGGGAAGCTGTTTTCCCAGGGGGTTGGGGCATACGAGTTGGGGTGGCGCCACCTAGCGCCATTTTCCGGTCTGCACGTGTCGCACGTTTTGTTTCACAGCTTCACTGCGAGAAAAAGGGTTGCTGGTGCAACAAACAATCGTTATAAAATATTTTTTAAATTCTAAGAAGATTCATTGACCCTAAAATGATATATAGGCAACTTTAACTTCTAACCAAAATGCATAAAATGAATATATTATCAATAGTAAACGATTTTATGTTTAACCTTCTAAGTAAAAAGTATTTTTCGAATTTGGAAAGGATTATATTGTTTTTAAAGAGTAGGTAATCCATTTTAAATTTTTTTAAGGCATGGTTTGGGTTTTGTATTTTATTTTTCCAGTATCCTATGCATTTTTTTGAATTTCCAATATCTTTGACGGGGCAAACACACAACCTCTGTATGCTTTTTTCCCGCTGACATGGAAATATTGGCTT